TCCGGAAGAGAGGGCCTCTTCGTATTTGGCTTGGTCAAACTCCACGACCAAGGTTTCTACAGTTGTTCCCGTGAGGTGAACGTCGGATTGCGCCACCACTTCTTCGTCAGAGAAGCTTGTCCCCAGCGGAGTTGCCATCTTTTGTTTGGTGGAAAATTTTGTAACAAGAAAATAAGAAAAGAACTGTACTTGATTTTATTCTCTCTAACTGTTTAGAAAAAGAATGATTACAATTCTCTCAACTCTCAATTACAATTGGATTTCCGATTACAAAAGAGAAGAGAATGATCGGGATTCTCTCCTTTGTTTAATTCTGGGTTCTTCTTGGTAGCGATGAGATGCCTCCCTCGATTGTTCGCGTCGAGTTTGCTTCTCGTTGACGATCCGAATATCTATACTCACTGGAACAACTGTCTTGTCTGGTTGATAACTCTTGACGAGTTTTGTGATTCAGAACAAGTAACAAACTCTAATGATAGAGTTGTTGGAACCGAAAATAATTCGGTTAATAAGCCAAATATCGATGGTTTATAGATCCTCCGTTTGTTGATTTCCCAGACTGTGTAAGGAGTCAATCCTCCTTTTTCTGATTCTGGAAGATCTGATCGAAAGATCTTCTCCAAAATCCAACCTCGCCTGAAAGATCCTCTTAACAAAAATCCGCCCTTGATCTGATTATCCAAAATCCGATCTCCCCCCAATCCAAAAAGGAGATCCCTTACTCTGTTGAGTTTGTTGCTATTTATAGGGGGATTAGGGGTGTAACTGCCCCCATAATCCGCGCCTAAATGGGGGTTTAGTTACCCCATTAGTCGGGTGTAACAACCCACTAAAGCCACTCCTCAAATCGTGGGTGAAGAACAGCTTCGAAGTTGTTACGATCACGTTTGAATGAGTCAGAACCTTGACCTGCGTTCTGGCGGTGATTGAGCTGCGTTTGGCAGCGACTGACGGGCTGCGTTGGGCAATGATGGATGAGTTGCGTTGGGCAGCGATTGATAAGCTGCGTTGGGCAGCGATGGAGCTGCGTTCGAGCTGTGCTTGGCAGCGATTGGAGCTGCGTTGGGCAGCGATGGAGCTGCGTTCGAGCTGTGCTTGGCAGCGATTGGAGCTGCGTTCGAGCTGTGCTTGGCAGCGATTGGAGCTGCGTTCGAGCTGTGCTTGGCAGCGATTGGAGCTGCGTTCGAGCTGTTGATTGTTGTAGTATTTAGATTTCTCTGTCTTTATATATGGATGACACCAAAGACCAGTAAAGAAGGTCTTATTCAGGCCATTTGTGACAATTGAGGCATCTCAATAACGCTCTATCAACTGCAGGTCATGATCTCCGCTGAGTGTGTCGAATATCATTACACTGCTCATCAGTACCTCTAATGGTTGCTAATATAATATTAGTCATGTTGTTGTCGCAGCCATCAAGATCAATCATCTCACATAAGAAGCTGCATTCGTGTTTGTAGCTGTTGAAGTGGCGTAGGTGATTGAATCGGTGTAGTGTCTTGATGATGGTACGCGGGGAGGACTTCCACGTCTTGGTTTGAAGAGATCGTTGATTTGTAATCCCTTTCTGTCAGAGTACTGCTAAAGACTGACGTTTTGTAATCTTTGCTTTAACTCTTTGACATGTGAAAATCTTCGAATTGTAACCTTCTGGAAGTCGTCAGATTGTAACTTCCATCATCAGTGTTCGATGGAGACTCAGCTGTCTATTGTGATTTTTAGACAGCCTACAACTGCTTCAATTCTTGACTTCTTCAGCCTTCAGTCTATTCGGTGTTTTGTCGAATAGATGAAGTTCTTCCGGTGCTGCGTTTATCGTTTGACCGTTGTCGAAATCTTGGATTGCAGTTGATGCTTAAGTTTCCGAATTTAGCTCGTGCCATTAAGTTGACTTTAAACTGATCATCTTCGTCAAAAATTCACATCCGAATCCGACTGAACTTTCTGAAATCATCGTTTGCCTTATTTTGGCGAGATTGCTGATGCGTTGACTGGCATCGACCTTTACTGTAACGCGTCGGCCGGCGTTGACACAGTTTATACTCGTACGTTTGCAGGAGTCTACATAGTTTAAGCTCTTAAGACGTTGGAGCGTGGCGGTCTCAAATTTGGGGCTGCAGGACCAACTATTAAAGTTGTTTCGTCTGCAGATATGGATCTTATCCCGAAGTTGTTGGATGCTCGAGTCACGAGACCAACTAATGAAGCTGATGCGTCGATGACTTGCATTTATAGAATTTTTGGCAAATTCTCAGCCATCAACGGGTTTGATGAGCCTTTACCGACTACCGTTTGAGTCAGGCTAGCATGCGGATTGTTTAAGTCCGTTCCGCATGTGACGTTATGCTAAAAGAGTTAACCCTTTTGGTGCTACGATATTGAATATGTAGACTTCGTCTTTCTCCTGTAAAAAGACTAAACAACAACGTGTATCAGACGTTGACTTAGGATTTTTGGCAAATCCTCAGCCCTCAACGGATTTGACGTGCTTTTACCGATTACCGTTTGAATCGGGCTTACATGCGGATTGTTATAAGTCCGTTCCGCATGTGACGTTGTGCTAAAGGAATGAACTCTCTTAGACTTGATGCTACGACTTCGAATACGTAGACTTCGCCATTGTTACGGGAACAGGCTACTCGGCAACGTGTGTTAGACGCTGACTTATCCCTACTTAGGCTTCGGGATAAAAGTCCCCAGACTGGCACTCTGGTGTCTTCTTCAATCGGTAAAAGACTAAACCGGCAACGCGTGTCAGGTGTTGACTTATCACTGCTTAGGATTCAGGATAAAATTCCCCGCGCGTGTAAGGCGCGGATTTTGGTGTTATTAATAACAACTCGCCACAACGTCGAATATGTGGGCTTTTGTTTTTTTTTTACGGTTAAGAACTAACCGGCAACGCGTGTTAGGCGTTGACTTATCCCTACTCAGGATTCGGGATAAAATTCCCCGCGCGTATAAGGTATGGATCATTGTATTATTAATAACAACATGTCATAATATTGAATATGTGGGCTTTTGTTCTTTTTTTACGATTAAGAACTTACCGGCAACGCGTGTTAGGCGTTGACTTATCCCTACTCAGGATTCGGGATAAAACTCCCCGTACGTGTGAAGCACGGATTTTGGTGTTATTAATAATAACCTGCCATAATATTGAATATGTGGGCTTTTGCTCTTTTTTTTACGGTTAAGAACTAACCGGCAACGCGTGTTAGGCGTTGACTTATCCCTACTCAGGATTCGGGATAAAATTCCCGTACGTGTGAAGCACGGATTTTGGTGTTATTAATAACAACCTGCCATAATATTGAATATGTGGACTTTTGCTCTCTTTTTTACGGTTAAGAACTAACCTGCAATGCGTGTTAGGCGTTGACTTATCCCTACTTAGGATTCGGGATAAAATTCCCCGCGCATGTAAGGCACGGATTACGATGTTATTAATAACAACCTGCCACAATATTAAATATGTGGGCTTTTGTTCTTTTTACGGTTAAGAACTAACCGGTAACGCGTGTTAGGCGCTGACTTATCCCTACTTAGGATTCGGGATAAAATTCCCCGTGCGTGTGAAGCACGGATTTTAGGAGTTTAAAAAAATGGTGTCTTCTCCTGGGGCAAAGACGAACCCGATGCGGGAGAGGAAGAATTTTATATTCTATTGTCTTCTCCTGGGGCAAAGACGAACCCGATGCGGGAGAGGAAGAATTTTATATTCTATCTTCCAAAGCTGAAGAGGAAGAATTTTATATTCGATGCGGGAGAGGAAGAATTTTATATTCTATCTTCCAAAGCTGAAGAGGAAGAATTTTATATTCTATCTTCAGTCACAAAAGGAAACTCAAAGTCGAATCTCCACTTCAAGAATCTGATAAGGTGAAACTAAGAGTGAGATCTTCACCCCGAGAATCAAAAAGATTCAAATAATCCTAACTGTCAGAAGGTTTGATTATCGAATTAGTGGTTGGTTTCACGTTTATCGAGAGGGAATTA